GACGTAAAACATAAGTAATTGAAAAAAATAAAACGTTACTAGTCGATTTTAGCAAATTTAAAAAGGTTCGAGTGTGAAAAACTAATTTAAACTAAAAGCACACTCCTATTTTGCTGATTTGTTCCATGGTTATTCCATACGAATGATATTAATTGCATGTACGAGAGTAAATACCTCGTATACGTATGTGTGTGTATGTGTGAAATTAATTTCAATTAGGATTTCGCGTTAGAAATACTGGCAATACAGTATTGTATATCACAATTGTGTAACTCGTAAAATACCTAGGAGTTTTCCCAATGGTATTTTTTAATATATCAACATCTCTCGTTCACTTAATTTTCATATTTACAGGTCTGACTGAAATACAAACATTGATTTTAGCATGCGTAGCCACTGTAATACCCCTATTCTTGGGGCTTTTGCTCGTTCTCGGAGTGAGGTAAGTTCGTCGGCACTGTTTGTGTGTGTGTACGTGTGTATTTGCATAACATGATTGAATAAACGGTGGTCCATTAACTGCATTATTACTGTTTTATTGGCAATTCTAGAATGGTGTGGAAAAAATACAAAAATCACAATACCGACGGTGGCTATGACAACGACGGACTGCGCCGCGAAGACAGTTGCGATGCCGTCAAGAGTTCAAGCTTCATGCAGAGCGCCGAAGAGGTATGGAAATTCATAATTTATTTTATTTCTGTGTATAAATAATGAAAAAAAAATACATCACTTAAGCACATGTATTTACCAAACGTCTAGCATACTACTTTACTAATACCCCGCCTCACCATTGTATCAAGTGCGATGGTGACGAATGTGTCACACTAATAATAAATTATAATCATTTTTATTTTATTTTTGATATTTTAACGTAATATTATAATATCTCGACAGTTAATAATAAACATACATTAAAATAATAATCATATTATACGTAAATATTCCAAAGTTTGAACACGGCGCCATGTATAGGCAAAATAGGTGTTCCCGTGCATTCGGTAAAAAATGGACTGACGCAAAAACAAAACGTACGTATAATCTTTGATATTAGTAGTAAATCGAATGGGTAGGGTTCGACGGCGTTTCAGTAAATAATATTATTATTATCTATTGATATTATTCAAAATGTTTGGTAGTTCAGCTTATAAAATATACAACATTTGAGGGCTCAACTTTTTATGCATAAAAATAAAATGCAGAATAATTATAGTGTTTCAGTTTGGAAAAAAACTATAAAAGTAAGAAGTTAAAAAAAGTTTTGTGCCGTTTACAATTTTTAAAAACAAATTGTGCAGGTATTAAGATTGTATGTTAACCTATTGTAAAGTACACCATCATAGCAGTTAATTTCTTTAAAWGGACTTGCAAATTATAACATATTTTTATTACATTATCATGTTTTTAGATTCAGTAAATTTAAGACGTAACTGTCAATAAAGAAAACGCAAAGTTTTACAATATTTTAAATTTAATTACATAAAATAATAAAGTATACCCATCTTTAAAAATTTCTAACTTTTTATAAGACACATCGTTAGCTTATTTACTATCTAAACATTCTAAACTAGCCAACTTGTCGATTAAAATAAACCTTACCTATTGACTACATCATTCAATATGTCAATATGTGCCTACGTATATTTTACGAATGAATTTTTATGGTGTAGTTAGACATTTATCTTTGGGTAGGCTTAATATATTGATAGAATTTCCAATACATTTTCATCACATAAAAAAATCAACACAATACCTTATGTGGCTTGGTGAGGCGCGGTCGTAAGCTGAATCTGCGGATTATACTTAGATTGTATGCACATTATATACAATTTTAGTATGATCACATAAAAAAATGTAAATTATTTAAACCATGTTCGATTAGAAAGCAGCTATCGCTACACGAAATCGTTTTAAAAACTTAAATAACGAATACATATTTTCTTGTGATTGAATATACTACAGTTGCGAAGATTTTAATTATAAAATCTTACTGCTAATCGACAAATATTATTTTTTTTCATGGCATAAATATGCCACTTAAAAAACAGAAAACTAAAGGGAAAAACGAATTTATATAATAATTATAATAATTACAATGCAATTATATTATTAATTATTATCATAATTAACACCTATGTGGAAATTAGCACCGGATTTTGAACTCTAAGTGGACCTGAAAAAAAAGAAAATTTAGGGACCCTTAACTAAAATATATATATATATATATATATATATATGTATATATAAAGCAACTATAGTGTAATACAACTATGACAATTCAACAGTTTAAAAACGATTACCTAAGCACAAAAATGGTAATAAAATTAATAGTTTATTCTTTATTGTTAACCACATAATA